AATTATAAAGATGAAACAAATAAAAGCAAGCATACAGAACAAAATAAATCAATAATATATATATATATATATATATATATATATATATATATATATATATATATATATATATATATATATATATATATATAGCTTAAAAAACAACAGAAAAACTGATCACGAAAACCATCCGTATTTAATTTAGAGAAAAAAAACGTACAAAATAAAAACAAAAAGTAAACAAACATAAAAACAAAAACAAAAATAGATAGATAGCCAAATAAAAACAAAAACAACGTCGCTCGGGACTCAACAAAACTATAAAAAAAAGCATAATCCCCCCCAAAAAAAAAAAAATAATAATAATAATAATAAACAAATATATAAATGAAGTTTAATTTAAAAAAAAAAAACTATCACAAAATTCGTCCTCATTCTATTAAAATCCAGCCTTATTTTCCTCCGGCGCCGCCCGGGCCTCAACGTAAGAAAAAACTACGTAAATATAAAATTCCCCGGAAATTAAATACAATCATAGAACTCAAAACAAGAATAAATAAATAGATAAGTAAGCAAAATTAATAAAAATCCAAAAATAAAGCTTTAAAAAAAACAAAAAACAACAAAAGCTGATCACAATTTTTTTCTCCTACGCCGCCCGGGCCTCGACGTAACAAAGAAAAAAAAAACGTAAATATAAAATCCCCCGAAAATTAAACACAAGCATAGAATCAATATTAATAATAACAATAACACAAAAAACCCAAGAATAAAGCTTAAAAAAAAAAAAAAATGATCACAGTCTCGACGTAACAAAGAACAAAAACAGCGTTAATATAAAATCCCCGAAAATTAAACACAAGCATAGAGCTCAAAATAAATAGATAAATAGATAACTAATATTAATAATAATAATAAATAAAACCTAAGAATAAAGTTTTTAAAAAACAAAAGAAAAAGTAAAAAAAAAATATCACTGCCTCTACGTAACAATATAATTCCCAAAAATGAAACAAACATAGACCTCAAAAAAATAAAAAAAAATAAATAGATAAATAGATAAAAATAAACAAAACAAATGAATAAATAAACCCCTTCCCACCCCATCCCCCCACCCCCCACCCCCCAAAAAAAAGAAAAACCCTAAAAACTAAAAAAAAAAAAACCCTGATCACAAAATCCAGCCTTATTTTCCTCCTCCTCCAGCGTCGCCCGGGCCTCGCCGTAAACTCCCGCCAGCTAAACCGATTTTTTTTCATTTCTTCTCCTCTCGGGTCGAGTTAGTTGACTGGGTCCCCGCTCTTTCACTCGGGCCTTTATTGATTCTACCCTGCCAGCGCTGCCAAGGCTCGGTGACAGGGAAAGAGAGAGAGAGAGAGGGAGAGAGGGAGGGAGGGATGGGAGGGAGGGAGAGAGAAGGAGGGAGTGAGAGAGAGGAAGGGAGGGAGAGAGGGAGAAGGAGGGAGAGAGGTGGTGAGGGATGGGGGAGGGAGAGAGAAGGAGGGAGGGAGAGAGAGGAAGGGAGGGAGGTGGTGAGGGATGGGGGAGAGGGAGGGAGGGATTGGGAGGAGGGGGAGGAAGGGAGAGGGATGGGGGAGGGAGAGAGAAGGGGGAGAGGAATGGGGGAGGAAGGGAGAAGGGGGAGAGAGAGGGAAGGAGAGAGGGAGAGGGAGGGAGAGAGGGAGAGGGAGGATGGGGGAGGGGTGAGAGATAGGGGAAAGAGGGAGGGAGGAAGAAGGGGTAGATAGAGAGAGTGGGAAAGGGATTGGGAGGAGGGAGAGAGGGATAGGGGAGTGAGAGAGGGAGAGAGAGGGGAGGGAGTGGAAGAAAGAAGAACGTGGGAGGGAAGAGAGAGAGAGACAGACAGACAGACAGACAGACAGACAGACAGACAGACAGAAAGACAGAGAATAAGGGAAGGAGATTAAGACGAAGGAAAAGAGAAAGAGAAAAAATGTGAAAGAAAAACCGGGAGAGAAATAGTATAAGGGAAAAGAGAGAATAACTGAAGGAGAAAAATAGAAAGAGAGAGATACAGACCAAAAAAAAGTAAAAAAAAAAAAAGTACAGAAACGCAAATAAAAAGAGAAACAAAAGAGGGATATAGATAGACAGAAAGAAAGAAATGTGGAAAGAAGAGATGAGAATAACGAGAAGAAATAGAGAAAGAGAGAGAGAGAGAGAGAAGATAACATCTCTCGTCTCTGATCCGTTTATTTTTGTCCTTGACTGAAATATTTTTGGATTTTTCTTTATTACTCTATAGTATTACGACTTCATTTACTTCTATTTATTTTTAATTATTTTTATTTGCTTTTATTTACTTATTTTTATTTCTATTTACTTTTATTTACTTTTATTTATTTTTATTTACTTTTTATGATTTTTATTTACTTTCTTTACTTTTATTATGACTACTTTACATAGTTTCATTTATTTTTATTTACTTTTATTATCACCACTTTATTTACTTTTATTTAACTTTATTATTACTACTTTGCTTACTTCTATTATCACAAAATATCAATATACAAAAAAAAAAAAAAAAAATCAACAGAAAAACAGTGAAAAAATCAATATCCAACAACAGAAAAACAGTGAAAAAAATAAATATACAACAACAGAAAAACAGAGAAAAAATCAACATCCAACAACAGAAAAACAGAGAAAAAATCAACATCCAACAACAGAAAAACAGAAATAAATCAACATACAACAGAAAAACAGTGAAAAAAATCAGTATACAACAACAGAAAAACATAAAAAAATCAACATACAGCAACAGAAAAACAGTGAAAAATCAATGTACAGCACCAGAAAAACAAAGAAAAATCAACAGACAACAACAGAAAAAATCAACATACAACAGAAAAACTAAGAAAAAAAAAAAAACAACCTACAATTAGAGAAAAAAAAAACAATGAAAAAAAAAAATCAACAGACATCGACATACACAACGTAAGAACCCCCCCCTCCCCCTTCCCCCCCCCTCCCCCCCCTCCTTATATACGGCAGACACAATCTCCCTGCACAAGAGAAGGCGAGGCTGGAGGCGCGTGTAAAAGGGAGCACAGAAACCCTTCGTGTATAACGGGTAGAGACGTTTTTTTTTTTTCTTTTTTCTTTTTTTTTACCCCCCCATTTTTTTTTTTTTTCCTTTTTTATAAGACTTATGGCCTGGAGGTTGGCGGTGGGATTGGCAACACTGATGGAAGGGGGAGGTGCTTGGGTCTTCCCCTCTTCCTCCTCCTCCTCCTTCTCCTCCTCCTCTTTCTTCTCTTCCTCTGCCTCCGTATCCCCTCTCTCTCCTCTCTTCCCCCTCCTCCTCCCCTTTTCCTCCCCTCTTCCTCCTCCTCTTCCTCCTCTCTGCCTCCGTATCCTCCTCCCCTCTTCCTCCTCCTCCTCCTCCTCCTCCTCCTCCTCCTTTGCCTCCATTTTCCCTCTCTCTCCTCTCTTCCTCCTCCTCCTCCCCTCCTCCTCCTCCCCCTCCTCCTTCTCCCTTCTCTCTCCTCTCTTCCTCCTCCTCCTCCCCTCCTCCTCCTCCTCCCCTCCTCCTTCTCCCTTCTCTCTCCTCTCTTCCTCCTCCTCCTCCTCCTCCTCCTCCTCCTCTTATCCCAAAGCCCCCCCCCCCCGCCCTCAACCCTCCCCACCCATGCTCCTCCCACCCCACCCCCCTTTAGCCACATTATTCCCCTCTCTCCCTTCTACCACATAACCTCCCCCCCCCCCCCCCAACTCTCTCCCTTCCCACCCTTTTCCCCTCTTTTCCTCCCCTTCTCCTCCCCCCCCTCTCCCTTTTCTCCCCCTCTCCCCCTTCCGCCCCCCTTTCTCCTCCTCCTCCTCCCCTTTCTCCTCCTCCCCCTTCCCCCTTATTTTTTCCTCCATCCTACCCCTTTCTCATCCTCCTCCTCCTCCCCTTCTCTCACTCTTCCTCCTCCCCTTTCTCCTCCTCCTCCACCCCTTTCCTCCCCTTCCCCCCCCATTCCACCCCTTTCCTCTCCTCCTCCTCCTCCTCCTCCTCCCCTCTCTCCTCCTCCTCCTCCTCCTCCTCCTCCTCCCCTTCTCTCACTCCCTCCTCCGCCTCCTCCTCCTCCCCTTCTCTCACTCCCTCCCCTCCCCCCCCTCCCCTCCTCCCTCCGCTGTGCTCTTCCAGCAAGCCTCCATCACGTATATGAGATTCATACTCCGAGGTCCTGTCTAACAAGGGGGACGCCAGCACAGCCCGAGACTCCATTTTCTCTCTCTCGTCGTCGCCGTCTTTTTCGCCCGCTTTCTCCGGGGATTTTGAGACGCTCTCGCTCTCGCTCTCACTCGCTCGCTCGGTCCCTCCTTCTCTCTCTCTCTCTCTCTCTCTCGCTCGCTCGCTCGCTTGCTCTCTCTCTCTCTCTGTCTCTCTCTCTGTCTTTCTCTTGCTCGCTCGCTTGCTCTCTCTCTCTCTCTGTCTCTCTCTCTGTCTTTCTCTCGCTCGCTCGCTTGCTCTCTCTCTCTCTCTCTCTCTCTCTCTCTCCCT